ACAACAACAACACGCCTCTAAAACTTTAAATGCACTGAAATTTACTAATACGCTCACTAAAATCACCGTTTTTCCACATTTTTTTTTATTAATTGTTATTACGAATCATATTTTCACAATTTGAAGCAATTAAAACACGTTTCCTATCGACAAATAGTATATTTAGATAATTGGCTCCTCTGCCATTTTCTTTTATCCTCCTCGTCGGCTTTGTTTACTTTTACACCAGAAATGACATCACCGCCGAAAACGAACTTCAGATTCGTGTTCAGCGACCCTAAAAACATATAGAACACCTAGTCTGGCAAAACAACCTTTCATAATTTCTTTAGTCCTGTGTTATTTATTATTTATTTATTTTTCTATTATTATTTTTTTACATTGCCGAGCGAAAACTGTGTTTCCATTTTTACTTACATTTCACACACAACTTTTTTTTCAAATGTCGAAAATCAAAACTTTTAGACAACATTTTTCCCAAGATTTTACTAAAAGTTGAATAATGCTTGAATTCAAATTGGTATCCAAGGTTTTCTCAAATATAGAACTCAATTTATTTTGCATCAAAAAATTGGCCCTTTTGTTAGAGAATGAGTTGGTTCTCTAATTGAGGTACTTTTGAAAATCTACTTTGGATTTCCAATTGATCTCCAACCCAAATGTTAATTGGGTTGTCACTCATATATTTTTATATTTTGGCGTCAGGAAGTCTCAATTCGCTTTGGGTAAGAATAAAATCATTCTTCGCTTCGCGGTAAGAATAAAATCGTTACTAGCCAAATAAGTTAAATAATAAACAATTTTATGCAAGTATTTACCAAGGTGCGTTCATGAAAGAATACGGATAAACTGATAAATTTAAGCAGTTTATCCCTTTATCACTTTAGATAAAGGCCCCTATTATTTATTTATATTTCGTTTGTAAACACATACGCATGTACATATATATCCTGAAAACCAAAGTTCTCGAAATCTTAACGAAATCTTTGGGAGTATCTCACTTCTGTAACGATTTTTTACGAATTTTCAAAGAAAATTGTATGAACTGGCTGACACGAACTCGTAAAGAAATGTGTGCGAAAAATACAGAAAATTCTGCAAGAAATTCTGTACATAGGTGTATTATTTTCATAGTTTTACCGATTTTCTTCCGAAATTTCGTAAAAGAATCGAAGTGTTTACAGTTTATTTTTTTTAGAAAATGCGGCAAAAAAATCTGATGAGATCTTTACGAGTACTTTAAAATTTTTCTACAATTTAGAATACTCTGAAAAAATGGTTTGCTGGGTATGTACTTACATGCTTTTTGGTTACACGCATGATGGCTGCATTTCTTTATTCATTCCGAACGTTTGGAATAAACTTTTTTGTTTATTTATTCTTTAGAACGTTCCTGATGATATGTTGACGTATATTTCAAACGCATTCTGTTTATTCCGGCTATGAAATGGGATTATCCGGAATGTATAAAGAAACGCAGCCGATAAAAACATAGCAAGGTAGAACCGTTCTCTCAATTTGTCGGCCATGATTTTTTTTTGAAGTTTGCCAACATTTTAAAATCATATAAAAGTGAAAATAAAAAAATTGAAATTGTTCGAAATTGTTGTTGCTTGAGATTGAAAATGAAAATGTGTGTGTGAGTTTGTGAGTAAATTTAAAAATTAAATTGTTTGGAAACGTCAAGAATTTTAAAAGCGACTCTCAGCGGTTCTACCTTACTATATTTTTATCATGGTTACACGATCATTAATTTTGCTCATAACTTTCCACTCAATTTATACAGAAACATTTGAGAAAAAGAATTTGAGTGGAGTACCAAATAGTTGCAAAGCGGCATTGCCAAGTGAAAGTAACATGAAAATGTTAACGATTAAATACTTTGATCAAAACCAAAACGGCATTGTTTTCTTCGTCTCCAGAAAAATTAAAATTTTTTGAGTTTTGGCAGTCTGTAGGTAAATTAGTTGTTATGTACATATCGACGGCTGAGTAGAAGATCGCTCTATCTCGACTGCGTGTTCGATAATGACCTATCTCAGAAAAGGTGCTCTTAAACGATATATATTTGCATGTGTACATGCCATTTTTTACATATGGAAATGCCAACATATCGTGTAAAGGCAAATTAGATTTGTTTCTGTACAAAGCAGATGCACGTACATACGAAATAGAAATGTTTCTATTTTCATCTGAATCACACAGGTAGAATCATCTAAGTTTAGTTTATTTCGTTTTCAAAGATCGTATTTTTAAATAGTTAAATAAAGACTGTGAATTTGGCAGACATATTTACGCAATTTCATATGTATTGAAAAAGTCACGTTAACAGATGTGAATACATATCGTGTAAGAACACCTTAAACCGTTGAAAAACACACCATCTCAGTTGCCGGTATGTTGAATTTATATTGAGATAGGGCGTTTTTGAAGCTGCAGAT